GATGCTATAGAGAAATCACATGTAGAGCACAAGTAAACTTCGAACTTTGCTTATGTACTCTAAACTCAGGTTAACATCGTTTGGACTGATCTGGAAGCCGTCATCCGATAGTGACAGTGGTCGTAGTTAGATCTCAGGTCTGGCCTGATTTAAAAAGACATCAGCAGATGTATTAGGCAATTGGGATCACTAGGAGAAAAACATGCAACATGCTACCTACCGGCGGATCAAATGACCCTGTAAACCGAAACATCGTTTGTTTTGAGAACTAAACATCAACCGGCAAGTGATTGAAAATTGTTCTAAAACCTTTTAAATTAACACCGACACAACCTGGGTGAGCGCAATTCACAATCCCTCGATTGATATTGCTGGAAAACAAAAGCAATTTTTCCAAGCGTAATGTTATCAAGTCTTCTATCGATAGCTTGTTAAAAATCCATTAACTCGTTAACTTGTATGTAAACCAAATCAAAACAAACAAAATGTTTCTTGTTTTACCAGTCAAAATTGTATGTTGTTAAGTTGACCCATATCCGCTTTAAAAAGCAACAAAAAACTGCAACCTACTGTTGAAATTTTGTACGGTTTGTAGGTGTTTTGTAAATGCTGTGAGCGAGTATTTTAATAGTGTTTTGATTAACAGCAGAGAGAAGGTGTAAAAAATGAATCAATTTCAACATTTTGTCAGTCGGAAGCAAGAGGGGCGGGTTGCAAAACGCGTTCTGATTGGCTCATACGTGGCAAAATGTCATCTGATTTCTACCTTTGCCCACCAGATATTTGGAGGCCTGTGATTGGTCAATTTTCGTCAGGCCACTCACAGGCCATCGACAACAGCTCACTTGAAACGGTTTGTCGTATAAATTCTACGAACATTTTGAAAAGTCTTCTTCTTATACATCGCCTGATGGGATTCACAATGCAGTGTTTACTTTGTGGAAGGCGCTCTCCTTCGAGTGGGCAATTTTTCCTGAACTTTTGCCGTCGAATCGCTCCATCAGTCGTCAATGTTTTCGTTCGTGGTATGGTGTTGTTCATTCTCGGCGCTTTCTTTGCTTTGGTTTTGTTCATGTTTTCCGTGCTACCTGAAGCGAGGAGAAAGCGAATTCAAGCTGTAGACTTTGGAATAATTGCAAACTTGTTCAGTGCTGTGTGGTGGATCGCTCCGTCTTCGGGAACAGCGGCTGCCTTAGTGGGAATTATGTACCCTTGCACCGACATTCGACTTGGAAAACCTCACAAACTTGAAAGAGAATGGTCAAGTGTTTTCAAATGTGTGGCGTTCTTTCTTGGAATAAGCCACGCTTGTGCTGTATCCTTTGTACCGTGTGGCTGCGTGTCTGTAAGAGTAATCTAATGCCTGAAGAATTTAAGGCTTATATTTATCTTGCGTATAAGCTTACGTGGAGAGCGATTTGCTCTGCGCCCTGGTTCATTTCCGGTCACTCTGACGCTTTCCGCTCGATTGCAACAAAGCAAAGGGAAAACATTTTAAAAGATATAGCCCTACTATTAATTCGCCAAATATTGTTTACTTCTGCTCGCGCAAACAATTTGCCTTTGTTGGGAAAAATGGCACTAAGCTGTAGTTTGCTAGTTCAATATTTGTTTCACTCTGTTTTTGCGTGCATATTTGTAAGGTTGACGTCACAAAGGGATTTTTTTTCGCGAGAACTTTCCTTCGTCTTCGTAATCAGTGTACCGTTTCGTGAAAATGAAATCGTTGACGTAATTTTTTGAGTCTTATTTGAGGGCAGACTGGCAGGAAGTTAATGGAGGACAGAGGTAATTTTCTTACTGTCTTCATACTGCAGGACTAAAGGCTAACAGTTTAGAACTTGTTTCAAGATATACATAAAATAACAAATTGATGTAAAACCCGAGATATGGAATAGCTATCAATCTATAGTTAGATTTGACTTCTGTTTTGTAAAATGACTGATACTTTAAAGTCAACATAGCGTGCTAGTGAAGTTGAACACAAATTTCAGGGTTGCCTGAATAATACCTATTTGTCACTTTTGACATAATTGTTCTAAAAATGGAGCCCCCTACTTTAATACCTTTGTGACAATTCTGAAATATACAAGCACTTGGCCTGCATCTTAAACCAGTTTAAACCTGTTTTTATGGCAGCAAAATTACAATATGTTCAATTAGCAATGTAATTCATTGTGGCTAATTATTTGATAAGCAAATTTTTATGAAGAATATTGTTTCGCATAGGCCATGTTCGATATATTGAAATTCTAACATGGCTGCAAGGCTTTCAGGAGAAACCTCTATATTTGGTTGTGTTTTCTTTGTATTCAAGTCTCTTGGGAATTGAGGGTCAAAGGAAACTTCAGCAAATTTGCAATTTTGTCCTTGAAAGCCTCAGGTTCATGTTAGAATATTTGATATATCAAATGTGGCCTCTTGCTGTGTATTTTACATGCCAAAAAATGCAATTTTTAGTAATAACCTCTATAAATTTCAGTTTCAAAATTTTTAAGTCCAATTATATGCTGTCTATGCCACAATGCAAAATACAGCTGGTAATTAAGATAAACTGCCAAACTTATTTGTGAGGAAAAACTATCTAAGTTATGAGGTACAGCAAAAACCTACATGCATTTTCCAAGTTAGCTTTAAAAGGTTCTTATATAATTGGTGTTTACTGGGAAATTAGGTTATCTAGGTTTGCAAACAGGTTCTTAATTTAGGAAAAAGTGTTTTTGTTGCTGGAAGAATATAGGCACTGCCTATTTTTTATATAAAATATGCATATAATTATGTCTAAATCACAGTGTGAAAACAGTATGAAACTCAAGGATTAGGCGATATTGTTAATATTTCAGTAGAACTGCCATCGACTCTCTAAAAAGAAGCAACTACTGTTAGTACATGTGCAATTACAGGTGCGTTACTATGTTATGTAATATCTGAAATGATATTGCAAGAGATTTGGCTCGTTTCCAGTGCTCATTATCAGGGCTTGAAAAAATCTAGAATTTCAGCTTGCCCTTTCAGACAGCCAGCTCTCTAATTTTGCTTGCCCTGGGCAAGTCTTAGTTGAATTGTTTTACATGTAGATGTACAGTGGTAAACTAGTCATAAATGTGATTGGGTGATAAGTACATGTTAAGTATATTGAACAAAAAATTGTTAAATTTTGTTAACTTTTCTAAATTGTTGAGTCATCCTTGACATTTTGGTAGAAAATTTCTTTCAACAGCCCAACAAATTTTTCCCTCTTCATGGCCATATCTTCGTTAATTCTTTGGTGGTTATTTGACCGATCAAAAAATGGCCTTGGACTTGCTGTGCTTATAACATTTTGTGCTTGTGCTCTTCTACAGTCCTTGATATATCTTGGAGTGTACAGGTAAATGGCTTCATGTCCTTTGACTTAGATTTACATTGTGTCATTGTTTGTTGCAAGTTTAATTTTTCATGTAGGTAGGAGGAGGTGAAGTATGTGTATGAGCCAAGTGGCCCATCAGGCCAGCGCTTATCTCCGGTTTTAGTAGCATGAAGAGACTAGGTGCAGTGCTTCTCTTCCCCCCCTCCCTGCCCCCCCTGCCCCTGGATGTGATGCTAGTCCATTGCAGAGTTACCCCCAAATTAAAATTGCTAGTACCCATTTATACATGTGGGTGGAGAGAGGCACTGTGAGAGTTAAGTGTCTTTTCCAAGAACAACACAGTGTCCCCGACCATGACTCGAACCTGGACTGCTCAATCTGGAGGCGAGCACACTAACCATGAGGCTGCCGCGCCTCCCTATTTTTCATGCACTAGGTCATATTTTTACAAAACCCATGTCACATAATTGAGTAGTCAGCATAGTCTAGCCAAAAGAATAGCAGACACCATCAGGCCAAAGTCCGGCATACTGGAAGAGTCCATCTAAGTTTCCCCAACCCATTAAGCAACTATGAATGTTTTTTATTCTCCTTGAATAGAATCCTCTATCAAACGGCTATTGCCCAACATTAAATTTGCGGTTAGCCATATATACCTGGGTGGGAGAGATGCATTGTGAGAGTTGATAATACATGTATGTGAATCTTGCCCCACCTAGTAAGAGCTCATTGCTAAACTCTGAGTCCATTGAATCTGGAGTCCAGAGATAGATTGGCTTCTTAATCAGAGGGAGAGCAGAAATACTACCAGTCAATTAAAGCTACAGAAAAACTGTTGGGATAGATCACTTAGTCCAATGTAGTCTTAACCTGTTAATTTTCTATGTCATACACATCTGCAGGGTTGTAGCGAAGAAAATAGTCTCTCGGCTAAGATTTTCATTGAGTCAGTCACCATTTTTCATGCAAGACCTGGAACAAAATTTTCGTCCCCAGTCTTTCACAACACCTTGAATGTGGGGCTACCAAGCTTTGCATTTACAAGATGACAGATGCAGTACACAGAAAGAGAACACTCTAAACAAAAAGGATTATATTTCATTTACTTTACTTGTTATATAGTGGAACTGATACTCAAGATAGTCAGGAATTTATTCCAGACTTTTCATTTAGATGGTTCAATATGGTTCAGATATTGAATGATTGTACGTGCGTAACCTAAAAACCGCGAGTTGTCCTTTACCGAGTGATCGCCCGCCAAAATCCAGTCGGCGATCTACTCTTTCTCTGCCGGCCTATTTCTCTGGCAGCCGGTGCTTAGCAACAACCCTGCATACTGTATGTAGTTTGAAAAAATTATGGAAATTTGAAAATTTTGTTGCATTGTATACATGTACATCTGTGAGCTTTCTTCTTGAAACCATAATTTTGATTTCCAGGAGTGATTGGTTTGTAAATTCTCGTGACATTTTTAATACATTGTCAAGGAGAATGGGGGAATTGATCAACTAGGGGATGTGGTCTTGTTATTATGTACATGAAACCAACAAAGAAATGAGTGGTATAAGTTAGGAAAATTAACTTTCAGATCTTGCAAGTGAAAGGTTTAAGAAAACTAGAGTAAAGTATTTGATCAGCAAACAAAATTGTGTTTTTTTTAATTCTGTGTAGTAAATTATCAATGAAAGTTAACATAATTGTCATGCATGTTTCCATGATTTTCTCTGTAGAAATGGTGAACCAGATTTCCTATATGCTAGAACATGGATTCCGTGGTTCTTTTTCTCTGGTGTTGTAACATTTGGAACCATTGGAAGACAGCTGGCCATGGTATGAGTTTCCTGTTGTTTAACCTCCTTTAAGTCAACATTCCTCTCAGTAATAAAGATAAAAGCAGCAATTCAATTTAATTTTCCTTTCAAAATCCCATTCAAAAACTTCGGATAGCACATTGGTCAGAGGGCTTGTCTAAAACCATTGTCTTGGGTTGGAATCCTGGACCAAGCATTGTACACATAGATCTCTGTTTCTTATGTTGGGTTTTGTCCTTGCTCCTAGGGTTTTTCTCTGGGTTCTCCAGTTTTTTCCCTCCACAAATTCCAAAATTTGTAAATTCCAATTTCATCTGGAAACAGTGAACCGGACACTCTGTAGGAACTGCAACTTCTAATTCCTATTTAGTGGCAATTGTTTTTCTATTGAAAATGAAACTTGATCTAAAACCTTAATGTTAATTGGATTAAATTATTGATGTCTGTCTTTGCGTGACACAGGCAACAAATAAAAGAACTTGTAGAGAAATTATTTGTTCTCAAATTGTGCATGATTTTCTGTGATTTACATAGTGTTTTCTTTTTGTTTTGTTTTTGTAATACTAATGACAGAAGGATTAGGTCTTGCTTTTCTGNTTTTTTTAATTCTGTGTAGTAAATTATCAATGAAAGTTAACATAATTGTCATGCATGTTTCCATGATTTTCTCTGTAGAAATGGTGAACCAGATTTCCTATATGCTAGAACATGGATTCCGTGGTTCTTTTTCTCTGGTGTTGTAACATTTGGAACCATTGGAAGACAGCTGGCCATGGTATGAGTTTCCTGTTGTTTAACCTCCTTTTAAGTCAACATTCCTCTCAGTAATAAAGATAAAAGCAGCAAATTCAATTTAATTTTCCTTTCAAAATCCCATTCAAAAACTTCGGATAGCACATTGGTGAGAGGGCTTGTCTAATACCATTGTCTTGGGTTGGAATCCTGGACCAAGCATTGTACACATAGATCTCTGTTTCTTACGTTGGTTTTTGTCCTTGCCCCTAGGGTTTTTCTCTGGGTTCTCCAGTTTTTTTCCCTCCACAAATTCCAAAATTTCTAAATTCCAATTTCATCTGGAAACAGTGAACCGGACACTCTGTAGGAACTGCAACTGCTAATTCCTATTTTGTGGCAATTGTTTTTCTTTTGAAAATGAAACTTGATCTAAAACCTTAATGTTAATTGGATTAAATTATCGATGTCTGTCTTTGCGTGACACAGGCAACAAATAAAACAACTTGTAGAGAAATTATTTGTTCTCAAATTGTGCATGATTTTCTGTGATTTACATAGTGTTTTCTTTTTGTTTTGTTTCCTTTTTTTGCATTTTGCATTGCTTTATAATTGCTGTATCTTTCTTATAATACTAATGACAGAAGGATTAGGTCTTGCTTTTCTGATTTTAAAAATGTGAGCCAGAGAAACAGGAAACTGTCCAATTAGTACAGAAGTTTGTGAGAATGTAGAAATATCTTATTTAAAACAATATTTATAACTAGTGTTTTGTCAATCCCCTACAGATTGAATACAACTTTGGAAGAAGTAAAGAACATGTGGACTAAGAAAATGGTTATGTAGTCCAGACGAGATGCTCAAAGCAGGCATCGAAAGAAGAACATTCCCTTTGAAATATGGACGGTGTTAAAAATGATAGAACTGTATTGAAGAAATAGCAGTGTAAAAATGGTTAGACTAAGTGCCATGGTCTGTAGTATATCGTTGAATATAGTTGTGTTGTTATGCGGTATTGAAATTCAAGGAGATCGCAAGGTCACACTGCAAGTTATAGTCCAAACTATTGACTGATATTAATAATTAATATCAGTCCAATTCATGACCACTGCTGGAAATAACAGTTGGTCATGAATTGGTCAATGTCTGACTTGATTTTGAAATTATCCACCTAATTTTACAGTGTGGTTAGACATCACATCCAAGTACCAGTGGAAAATGACTTCACTTTCTATTGTGGTTATCTAATTGACAAACCATGTGTGATTTGAAACATATGGAAAATCATAAATAGATGGATACACTAAAATGTAAAAATTATTATGTCTGGCCAAAGTAGAGATTTGAAAGGACATGTGTTCTTCTAAGTAAGGAAAAGGTCTGTCCAGCAGTGAAACTTGTTAAAAGTGACATTAAAATTATTATATACGGTTTTTCTGTTACTTTTAAGAAATGATGCTTAAAATACCATTGCGTAGATCTAGAAAATATCCATACTCCCCCCACAGAAGGGATTGGAATTTCCTGGGGGGTGGGGGGTTCAGTAAGACCAAAAAATTTAAAGAAATCTGTGAAGCTTTATTGGAATTTCCAGAGGGGTTGGAGGTTATTAGAAAAAATCCCTTCCGTGGGGGAGGTATGGATATTTTCTGGAACTACACATTGAGGGCTTGGTTCATAGCCAGGCAGATTTAAAAGTCGCAACATGTTGACCAAAGCTCGCAAAGTTGCGTAGAATATTTTTGGAAATTTAAAACAAGATGAAAATTTCTACCCATAAGCAGTCATCTGTTTTCTATGGGTGGAAAAGGCTGTGCCAATTCACTTTTTGCTTGTAGAAAACAAGAGGAAGAAGTCTAACTTTCAAGTCTTTCAAGTCTTACTCAACTGGGAAATGGGAAGAGGAATAATATATAATGCTGCATTTTATTCACCAGCAACAAGAGAAGAAAGTATTTTGCATTTGCTATCTAACTGACGGGGATTAGTTGTATAAATATTTTACAGAACTTTTGTTGGAGTATGTATTGGGGAAATCCTTGGACAAGAAATTGTCTTTGGACAATTTTTGTTTTAATTTTGGCCTTTGGGGTATCTCTCCTCTCTTGATGGTACTTTTGATGTATTATAAATATCAATTAAGTGACATAATTGAGCTTCGAGCTTTTAATTAAGTCTTTTAGAGTCTTGTAAAAATGTATATGCATGTTAGAAATTACGGTATATAAATGTAATTTAGATTGTATCTGTAGTGTTCTGTCAAAGATGAATCTTAGTATCATTATGGCATATATATATATATATATATTTTTTTTTTTTGCTTTAAAATGTTTACTGCCCATAAAGTTGAATCTGTTAATATTGACTAGCAAAGATGTTGTGACAACTTGTCTATTTTAGAGGTTTTCAACAAAAAAGTTACTAGTGCAATCAGTGAAGAATTGTGAAGATTATAATCACAGTCTATGAAAAATATTTTTAAGTTAAATGTCAATGCCCGTGTGGAATTTTCTGGCGGGTTCCAGAAAATGTTGGAGCGGCAGGTCCACAGAGATGTTTGGCATTGAATTTAAACTCTATGAAGCGGTTTATGTTTGAGCAACAAAGGAAGATAGAGGTTCTTGCAGTGCAAGAAGTTCAATGTACTTCCTAACATCTTTGCTACAATTGCAGACATAAAGTGAATATGGCAGAAAACTTTTATTTGGGAATCATTGTTCCTTGTTATTCCTTGCATTTGGCATATTTTCATTATTGAATCACTGTTTTGTGTAACATGTATACTGGAGAGTTTCTTGCTGTAGAACCGTTTGTGAAATGTAAATAAGGGTTGTATGAAAATGCTTAAGTTACCATAATTAAGAAATAGAAAATGTATTCATGCATATTTATCATATTTTGGCATGTTGCATTGTAATTAGAGTAACTTGGCAAACCAGGCTGAAACGTTTTCATTGGGTAAACAAAGGGTATTGATAATGTAAAGCAATTCTGAGAATGTACTAAGTTATTTGCCTGGGAATCTAGCTGCCTTTCATTGCTCCTGACTCTTTTGGCTTTAGCAAGAGGTAGCTATGTTAAGAGGTCATTAATGAATTGAAATAATATATTATTTTAATCAAAATGTCTGAATTAGTTGTACCTGCAAAGTATATCCTTTGTTTTAAATGTCACAATTTGTATATATATTTAATAAAAAATGAAATACTCCACTTAACTTGTATGGAACTGAGTCACTTATGCAACTGACCTGTAATACCCAGTCACCATGTCATCAAGGCTTTTTAAAGAGGTACAATGACTTACATTTGTCGTGTGCAGTTGTTTTTGTCTTCACTCATCAAGCAACAGAAAAAAGGTATGTATGACCACAAAACAGGCGCTTTGAAGTAAACTAAAATAACAATACTGTACTGTGGGCAGATATGATTGGTTAATGAGCCACGGATTACTGCACTGATAAACTGGTCAGTATGACTGCATGACCAGAGGGTGGACTCCCATATAGATAGAACTGTGGTCCTTGTTGGAAATTTTGAAAAAA